ACAGTACAGTCAGTCCAGTCCAGTACAGTATGGAGGACAGCTCTGTTAGTAACAGTATGAGTCTGATTATAATCTCAGTAACTAATCCAGCTCACTGTACAGTCAGTCCAGTGTAGTAAAGTCTGCTTTACTCTGACTCAGGCTCAGTCAGGATCAGCAGAGGGCTGTCAGGTTGGCAGTTTGTTATCCAGGCCAATGTTTCCATCCTCTCTCTCTGCTCTGTAGCCCGGTGATCCAGCAGATCCGCTCGGAGTGCGCCTCTCCGTTCTCTGCCTTTGAGCGGTGCCTGCGGGAGAACCAGGACTCGGCCGCCAGTTGCTCACCCCACGTGTCCCGCTTCCTGGCCTGCGCAGAGACGGTGAAGCTCAGCGGGCTGGGTGAGACTCCCATTACTGCCTGTCTGTCTAATCTGTCTGTCTGTGTGTCCGTCTCTGGTCATCCTGTCTGTGTGTCCCTCTCTGGTCAGCCTGTCTGTGTGTCCCTCTCTGGTCAGCCTGTCTGTGTGTCCCTCTCTGGTCAGCCTGTCTGTGTGTCCATCTCTGGTCAGCCTGTCTGTGTGTCAATCTGACAGGGAAGGGATAACCTTGTCTATAAGAGACAGCACTGCAGTCGCTATGAATCATGGGAGTGTGACTATTTATTATCTCTGGTGGTTTCCCAGCTCAACATACAGGAAGAGCAGCTCCATAGCTACTGATTTTGACTATGTGAAGCAGAATTAGATGTCTGTTTTCCAGCACTGTGAAACGTCCATAGCCAATTAATATCCACATTTCCGTAATCCACACCCGCCTGTTAACCGTCTGTCTGTGCATCCGTATGTCCTGTTCTGTTGCTCAGCCGAAGGCAGTTCAAACGGATCAAAATGAACTGAATCTAATCAATAACTGCCGTCTCTCTCTTCCTCCTCAGCAGAGGCTGTCCCTCAGCCCTCCTAGGCCAGCAGAGGTCACCTCCCCTGACCCCTGGTGCTGAAGATCCAATTCCCTTACTCCTCCGTATTTCCTTGCCATGCCGCCTGGCGAAGGCACCGTTCCCGATCTGAGAAGGCTCAAGCCCCATCTTCCCTCTTCCTCATGGACACTGTGCCCAGAGCAGGGCGGGGCGCGGGGGGGTCTGTTTCGCTCTGTTTTCTTTCCTTTCTTGAGCCCTGCTGGGGTTCTCATTTTTGATCGGGAATAAAGACGTTTGGATTTCTAGAACACGTGTCAGGGGATTGACACACCGCTGAGGCATGCTTCTCTCAGGAAGACCCTGGATCTGTTCGACTGGAATTCTACCGCCATGCCATGAGCAATCCCACAATGCTCAGAGGAGTCGCTCAAGTCTGCTGCTGTGCAGGCGTGTCAGTCAGAGGTCGACGTGATGATGTGTGATGGCTTTTCTTCTGTCGCGGCAACAGCAGTGCAGTTATGATGTTGTGCTGCTCTCCAGAGCCTGTGGCCTCCCTGTCAGCCACCCAGCGCTTCAATAAACCGCTGTTTAGCGTGAGCTTAATTTAAGGAGCTGTGATCTGGGGATCGAGGGCCGCTCTCTCCTCCGTTTCCTGCTCTCGGCGCTCAGCAGCCACTGGTCCCCTAAAGCCAATAGCGAGGAGCGGGATTTTTATTGAATGGCGCTGTGTGTGTCTGGAGTGCTGCTCCCCTCTGTGCATCTGAACTGCACCCAGGGTTTGCAGCGTGTGTAGGTGGGTTCACCTGTGCACACACAGGCATTACTGTCTTTTTTTCCCCTTTCCTCTTTTGTTTCCTCACTCTTCTCTTATTTTCTGGCCCCTCTCCTATCCTCCTCCTCCTCCTCCTCCTCCCTTTGTTCTTCCTCTCTGCTGCTCTTTCCTGGCGGTAAAACATTAATCCCAGGAATGTGGTCGTATCTCGCTTTTCATCTTCACCCGCTGGTGAGCAGCTGCCTTTGGTGAAGGAGGGAGGGAGAGGAGGACAGGGGGAGCATGCTGAGTTATGAGCTCTCTGACTACAGACTAGAAAATGAATCTATTTTCTGGATCAGATATTAAAGGAGAGATGCCGAGGGATGGAGACCACAGTGTGTGATTATTTTCCCACCCCTGTGTTAACCCTGACATGGCTGTGCCTGCAAAAATCCACTGATCCTCCTGCTCTGCTCTAGTTCTGGTGTCCCCTAGAAACCCTATGAAAGTGACCATCAATGTGAGTGGACAGGTGTGGGACTGTGCGCAGGTGTGTGTGTGAGTGGACAGGTGTGGGACTGTGCAAGTGTGTAGGTGCGAGTGTGTGCGGGAGTGGGACTGTAGGTACGAGTGTGTGTGTGCAGGAGTGGGACTGTAGGTGC